TATGTATAATGTCTGTAGAGTAAAATAAGAAAAAAATGAAGTACTATTGGTATGTATCTAAACTTAACTGGGTAGAAATGCTCCATGCATTGGTTTGAGTGGGCTTCATACCATGAAAATTTATTGCTCCTTATAAGATTTTTTAAAGTCAGTAGGTCTTACAATAAAAACGAACATGTGTAAGTCTGTATTTATTTATGGGGGAAAAGGAATCAGAAATACAGCATGAATATGTTTTATAAGTTAAATATAAGGGTAAATGTGTAAATGGAAAGTGTAAAAATTACATTTGTCAGACATAGTTTGGTGAATCCTTTGAATAAAAGTAAGACGTGTAAAAGGGGAATCAACAAAGTTTTGTATAGTTGGCCAAAAAAGTTAATACAGTCATTAATAGTTAGTACAATGCATTAGAAGGAAAAGTTCTGAGTATCTCCAACTTAGTAGTAAAAAGTAAGAAATGTAGTTTACTGCGATCGGACCTAGTACTGTTCTTCTAGCGCGCGCAGCTTGGTAGGCGTCCGGCATGCGACTAGTTTAGTTCCGACTTTCATTCGCCATTTTTTTCTCTTTGGTGTTTCAGTTGCTGTCACATCAAATTTAGCGATTAGTTCTCCCGCTGACTGTGTGAGATTCGTGCCGTGATTAAATTTTTTGAACGCGAGGAATGTTAAACCGCCCGAAATTTATCGTCAAGTGACAGAAGTTTACGGTGAATACGCGATAAGTGATGTAATGGTGAGAAAGTGGGTAAGAATGTTTAATGCATGTCAAACAAATGTCAACGCCGAGGCTCGGAGTGGTCGGCCTTCTGTTGTCACCGATGATTTGGTGAGGAAAGTTGATGAAGCAATTCATGAAAACAGACGCTTGACAATGACAACTCTTTCAGAGGCATTTCCACAAATTTCACGTACTGTTTTGTTCGAAATTGTGTCTGACCGCTTGAATTATCGCAAACTGTGTTCCCGATGGGTTCCAAAATGCTCACTGATTTTCACAAAACAAAGCGACTTGGTAGTGCCCTGACATTTCTCACACGGTACAGTGATGAGGGAGAAAACTTTTTAAACCAAATTGTGACAGGTGATGAAACTTGGGTGTGTCATTTCGCACCAGAATCGAAACAACAATCGATGGAGTGGAGACACACTCATTCTCCGAAAAAAAAAAAACAAAAGTTCAAAGTGACAATGTCATCACAAAAACACGTGCACTGTCTTCTGGGATAGGAAAGGCGTTTGCTTACTGAACTGAATTTCTTCCCAGGGAAACCATTAATGCGGCACGATATTGTGAGACTTTAACAAAACTAAGGCGTGCCATTCAAAACAACGAAGAGGAATGCTCAGTAAAGGAATTGTGTGCTCCATGACAATGCTCGGCGCCATACTGCTGGTGTCACTCAATGGTTAATTCGACAGTTTCATTGGGAGCAGTTCGATCACCCGCCGTACAGCCCGGACTTGGCGCCGTCCGACTATCACTTGTTCCTGCACATGAAGCGCGAGCTTGGTGGCAAGCGCTTTGGATCTGACGATGACACTTTGGATCACCCGCTATGACAAGTGTTTGATCATTGGCGGAAACTATGTTGAAAAATAGTTTGTTTAAGACATGTATTTTCATGTAAAAATAAAATTGGATTCGAAAAAAAATATTTTACTATTTTTTTTTCTTTCTTTCAAAACGGTACTTAGTTTCCGAATACGCCTCGTATATAGAGTATATAGTTAAACTATATAGAATGAACATTGTGCATATTGGTTTAAAGTTACAGAAAATATTATCTAGTGAAGTTATATGCATGTAAATTCCAGCTTAAAATTTCAAAGACGGAGAAATGTAGGTAAGTTTACTTTTGGAGAAATGAAAGTGTAACATGATGTTGTATTTAAAACAAGGGGAAAAAGTTAAGGGTAAAATAAAAATGTAACAAAAAATTTAAAGGAAAGGGGGAAAATAAAATTTACTCTTGGAAGTAAAATGCATAAGGGAAAAAACAGAAAAACTGCATTTGTGTAAACAAAAAACTCAAAAAAAAAAAAAAAAAAAATTAAACTATGAAACTAATATTACTTTTGTAAAAAATAAAATTAAAAATGTAGTAACACTTTTTTTTTTAAAAATAAAAAGCGGAAAGGAAAATTAAATTTGTAAAAATAGATATTAATTTCGTAAAAAAAGTTTAAACAAAAAAAAAAAAACCTTTTTAAAGTAAAGTTAAATGTAAATAAAAAAATAAATAAAAATACAAAAAGGAATAAATTTGAAAAAGAAATTTGCAAACTAAAACAGTGAAAAGAAAAAAAAAATAAATTCGTAAAAACAAAATATTACTTTTGTAAAACCAAAAAAAAGTTAAGTATAAAAAAAAATTAAAGTAAAAATGCAAAAAGGAATAAATTTGAAAAAAAAAAAAAAGAAAAAAATTCGTAAAAATATTACTTTGTAAAACCAAAAAAAAAGAAAGTTATATATAAAAAAAATTAAAGTAAAAATACAAAAGGAATAAATTTGAAAAAAAAAAAACCACTTTGCAAGATAAAAAGTAAAAAGAAAATTTAAATTCACTTTTGTGGAAGTAAACGTCAATTTGCGAAAGTTAAAAATAAAATTTGTTTGGGAAAGGGAAAAAAAATGAAATAAAAATTAATAAATTAACTAATAACTTAAAAAATAGTAAGAATGAGATGAAAAATGAAAATAATTAAAATATCTGAATAATAAAAAAATTAAACTGTGGGAAAATCTTACATTTAAAACAGCAATGAATAAATAATGATTAAGAAGCCTAAAGAAATCTTAGCCGTCATGTAAAAACAAATGTGTGACGCGGTTTTCATGTCAAAGCGCATGCGCAGACTTTCAGCCTTATGACATCAATGGTGCAAAAATGTCAAAGAGACAAAGAGGGTTTCAAACAAGGAGGTTAGAGTAGAAGAAGGGAAGGTTCAACTCAAACGGTGAAGCTTGGCGGCCATGTTACTGTTATCGCTGTGACTTGTGCAAGGAAGTCTGCAATTGCAATATATTTTTTTTTTCTTTTAATTGTGAAGCATGTCAGCTTGTGTTTCATATGGATGCACAAATCCGTTTTCGAAAACCATTCCTGGGATTACGTTTCACTCGTAAGTATTGATTTTCTTTTTTTATATATAATTTGATAAATATGTTAAAAAAATCACAATGTCATGTTGTTTTCTTTTCAGATGTGAAAAAAAATAATCAAAATATGTTAAATACATTTTAATGTTTCTGTTTATAGCTGGTATCTTCGTCCCCTAACATACAATGATATATGCCAGGATTTAAACTGTATAATTTGAACGTTTTAAGCATTTCGTTTTATAATTTTCATGAAACGTAAGAAATCAATTGTTACTATTTTTAGGAATTGTAAAGGTGTTAAATAAAGCAATGCTTTTCTTTATGTATTAATTATTACTCAATTCACGCGCATAAACTGAAATCATTGAATTCACATAAATCTGTTTTATTTTATTAATATTTATTTTCTTGTTGTTATAAGTTGTTGGTCGTGAAAAGAATCTATTTAAAACTTTCATTTTAAAAAAATGCAACCTATGACTATGTTTTAGATAATTATTTGCTATTAATTTCAGGTTAAAATAATTCTTTAATAAATTAGGATAATATTGTAAATAAATGAGAAATATCCCTTCTTAAAGAAAAAATTGGAATGTACGCCCGACAGGTTACTAATGAAACTAAACAAATTCTTGAAATATGCAGAAACATCATTTTTAAAGGCTTTAATGTTATGCCCATGCATTTAGATTTTGAACTATTTCTTAAGGATTTTCTGTACGTAGTAAATTATGGATATCATCTTAATAACTTTAAAACAAAAAAACAACTAACAATAGCGAAGCGTTTCATTATAAATTTAACATATTTTTACTCTAAAATGCATGCACGGAACAGCTTAAAAACACGTAGATATGTTTTGAAGTTACAAACATGGACGCCGCTTGTTCGGTGGAGTTTCATTCCCCGATAGAGGAGGAAACTGTAAACCCTCCCTCCTTCTATTCTAACCTCCTTGGTTTCAAATAACAAGTTTGATAAGACCACCGGGTAACCATGTGGTAACGTTCAGGTCTTTCATCTTAGAGATGGCGGGTTCGAATCCCGTTTGTGGAGTTATTTTTAAAATTCAGGGAAAATATTATTAAATTCCATAAAAATTAATTAAAGGTAATAATTAAAATAATGACGTACTAAATGATTAAAATGCTTATTAAAAAAGAGTAAATAATTAAAAATTAATGACGTATTAAATAATTAGTCACGTGTTAAATAATTAAAAATAATAAATTAAAAGTCATGTCATGCCAAACACGTGGCTCCAGAGCTCGTTGCCACAAAAAACAAAAACTTTTGAAAACATAAAATCGTTGCCACAGAATAAAAACGAAAGTTTGATGATGTCATTCCATCACGTGATATAATAAGATGGCGCTAGTGCCATCACTGAGTACCTCGGCTTACTACTTTCAACGTTTATGAAAGTTTCAGACAAGTAAGGAATCTTCACTGATAGCGCTTTTCGAATTAACTTCGTTAATGCTAATGGTCTCCAGGACCATGATACCCATCATCCAACTTTTCTCTGCCAGAATGGAATTTTTGAAATCATTTTCTTGCAGCATGCCTCAGAAGCATTTATGCGGAATTTGTACTCATGAGAAAAACTTACTAGAATAACGCTATTGTGTACAAGCATAAATAAGGCGCTTTTCAATACAGTGAAAACGCAACTAATCTCTGAAGTTTTCCAGATAGTGAGCGTCACCCATGAACTTTTTGTTGCATGCATATGTGTCATTTGTGCATGTACATGCGCGATCATATTAGCTGTACATACGCGAGTTTGTGTCATTAGTATATATAAATACATGATTATATTAGCTTTCGCAATGAACCTCATTGCAAAACGGCAGAATATTTTGGATTACTTTTATAGACATACTAACCTTTATTTATTTCACCAGGTAACAAAGGAGGCCAAAGACCATTTCTTATAGTCAACATCCATTCTTGAGACTCCTCTTCGTTATCGGCTGCCAAATAGAGCAGCACATTTATTCCCGACACCAAAGCCCAGCTTCGCAAAGGTCTGGAGCGAGAGTTGTTGCGAAAAATATTCAAACCCTCTTTTGGAGCTTTTATTTGTGTTGGAATTTCCGATCCACAAGAAATATCTAAAATCAGTTTTGCTGTACTTGCCTGAGAAATGCAGACTGAAGCTGTTGCCCATACTCTTTGCCATACCTTTAAAAAATGGTGTATATGTAAAGAACTGTATTTGAAAGAAAGCCCTACATTTAACTCGATTTTAAATAATATATTTATCTCTTTGAAAATTAACAAAACTATGAAAGGGAACGCTTCAAACTGTTAATTACAAACTTTTATCTGATACTATTTTATTATGTGTTCATTTTAATTATTGAAGCAGCATAGGTGCTACTGTTTTCACTATTGAAGAACTTAGCGCCCGCAAGAAAATCGCGTCTTGTTCGTATACAAAGTTCTTACTATTCCATAAAATATTTCATTTCATCTTCTAATTGTCGCTGGGCCATAAAAATACTGTAATTAAATTTTAGTCCAGTCCTCACTTGAAGTTGCTGTGGAAAACGTCATTTGTAAATGTCGAGTACTTACAATTAAATATGAGTAAATGTTACTGTGAATGAATAATTTTTGATTTTTCAGAGCAGTTTGCTATTTTTAGTCACTTCTAAATAAAATAGAGTAATCAAATAATATTCATTTGTTCTCATTTTCTGTAAGGAAGAAGAAATATCCTTCAATTTGTTATAAAAAACATCAAGCTGAATCCTTTCCCTTCGAGGATTGAAATCTTATTGCAATAAGCATCGGCTATCTCTTTCCGACGTCACCGAAATAAATTTCTGTTATTAGAAAAACATATTCTATTTAAGCGTTGTAGACAACACCCCATTTCTGAAACTGTATACTTAAGGGGAGGGAATAAAAAAAATTAGAATTCCTATGGTAAAAAAGAGAATAGAGGCACAGGTATACATAAATATAGAAATATCGGAAATTCTAAACAAAGGAGTTCTCTGATGGTTAATGCTAATTGCTCAGTGCCTGCTTACTTCATGTTAACACATTAAACGCCAAATCTATTTTGGTTTCTCTTTCGTCCCTATGGATGGATTAGGCGTTAACATGTTAAACATAGACCTAGTGAAAGTAAACTGCGTAGCGAAATTTAAACTGCAAGTGACGCATGAAACATAAAACAGTAATCAGGCAGCAGGATGTTAGTTTTATATAGACGAATGAAACATGCAGCAAGGGAATCAAAGAATGCACACTCTTGAAAAAAAAAAAAAAAAAAAAAACATCCTGAAATATGCAGTCGTTTCGCAGAATGACACTGAAATATCCAACAAAGGGGAAAGAATAACTGTGAGTTTTAAAATGGAGAACAAAACAATAAATAGATGTCATTTTCTCATGAAAAAATTGATTGGAATTCTTATAAGCCTAAAAGATACGCAAAGACAAATTAATGATAATAAATTACTTTGAAATTATTCACCTTCTCAGGTATAAGCCGCATTATAATGTTGTTAAAACATTTAGAGTATAAAAAATGCAGTCTATACACGCTTAAATACGTTATATTCTTTTCATATAAATTGCTCAAATATATATTTTTTACACTATTTCTCTTATAGGCTAAAAATTATTTTTCGAAGATTCTTATCTTTGGATTACTTAATTTACTGAATGTATGCGATAATGTTTTAAGAAACGGACAGATTTGTTATCTATTTTTAAATAAGTTTATGACAGCTTTCTAATATGGTGAAATCTACAGTTAATTCGTTACAGTTAGTTCTTAAGTTACAATTAGTTCGGTTTACAAGCAGAAGGGAGACCCCTGTAGATCAAAAACACTGCAATGATGTAAAGGTATTCTTTACTTGAGACATGTAATCTGATATGAAATTTTCTAGTTAAAAAATAATAAAATAAAATGTTGAAAAATATCAATTTATCTTAAGATAAATTAAGTCTCCTCTTCTCCTTTTTTTAATGATAGCAGCAGCTAAGCCGAATTTTGTCGTTTACCTTGAACACGCCATTTCTAATTAGCAAGAAGAAGATGCATTAAGATTAGGTAATCTATGGCAAAGCAATGGAGTTAGAACAGCATAGTTAAAGCGACTGATATGTGCCTAAACAGAGGGATGCTTTCATGAAGGAATTTGTAAAGGAAACTGGCTACTATTCAAATTACATATGGCAAAAAGGCACAAAGACTACTATGCAGCCAGCCCTTTTGCTAGGATTTGAACCTGCGCGCAGCTATCAGTGTTCAGCTTTTTTTAGCGCTCAACCGCTGGTAGGCCCCAAAAGGAAGAATAAATCGATGAGCACTAGCCATCGATTCACTCAATCTATAAATCCTTAACTTTCATTTTTTTTCATGTACTTTTATTTAATAATTATTTACATAGTCGTATCTTATTTTCAGTAGAAAGCTAGCTTGAACTTGATGTTATCATAAAGGAGGAAAAAACATGTTAGTGGCCTTAAAAATAAATTTTACGAACTGACATAACATTTAGACTAAATCTGAACTCTGAGATTCTGGGGTTCTTTGAGGAAGATCATAAAAGGTACTTTGAAGGGAACACCAAACAACAAAAGAAACCGTAGTTTTATTTTTACATAATCATGTTTTCTATTTTAGAGCAATCCCTTAATTCCTTTTATTGAAATACGACCGTTATGTTTTATTATTGCTTGTTTTGTTATTGTTATTGTTTTATTATTGTAGGGGGCAAAGTTAATTAAATATGCTAATGCAAGTTTTGTCCAAATTATTATGTTTCATAAGTAATGCCATTTATAATCACACATCAAGAGAACAACTAATAGAACAGCCATTATGATATATTTTGCTTACTTACTAGAAAAAATCACTATTCATATATAACAATAAATAATACAGTCAATAGACCCAAATAGACCAAACCCAAATCTGATTGTGGGCTGTAAGCTGCAATAATCATAACTGCAAGCTGTTTTAAATTAAATGCAAATTAATTATATTTTTTTCGTTATATTTTATAAAATCTATTCATATTTGCTACATGTTTTCTATGCAAAATGCTTACAAAGTGATAGCTATTTGAAACAGGTTTCTTTATTACCTTTGCTTTGAAATATCTTATTTCTAGTACATTACACATATACTATTTCCACCTCTGAAACATTGTTCAATATTCATGATTAGATTTGAAGAAACTTTTGGCGGTTCCATCTTTGAAGAATTTTATTACTGTCTTCATCTCGCATACCGAATTTATGAAGTATGTATTAAACGATTAAAATTCTGTCTTACTTTTTCCAGAGGTATAACGTTAATTTAAAAAAAAAAAAATTATGAAAATTCCTTTGCGAGTTACAATCGCATTGTCTGAATTCCAAATTTACCTTAAAATTTTCTGTTAATTTAGCATGATTTTATTGATTGATTAATTAAGTTGATATTTACCTTGTAAAATTTAACTTCTGGACTTCCAGCCGGTGCTTTTATATCTAAATATCCTTCTCGTAAAACTTCCTTCATTCCTTTGGTGTCCATTTTCCTCGTCAGATTAATCTTTTGTGCAGTTATTATCATTGTTTTTCTAATCTCAGGTACATTATTTTCTCTGATAAAGAATACATATGTTTTGTAAAAGCGATAATCTGAAACAAAAAACTAATCTAGAAGCACGCCAGATCAAAGTGTAAGATAAAAATGTGTGTCAAATATCTCGACTAAAATAATGCCTTGATTTCTCATTCGTTTTTTCGTATTTATTTTATAAGTCTTAAAAACAATTACTAAATAAATGTGTCATAATACATATCGAACAAAATATATTTTTATTGCTGCTTTGTTTTCATACATACGTCATATTTGCTTACATTATAAAATAAATACGTCAGCAAAATAAATATCAGCATAACTGTAAATAGGCTTAATTCACAAAATTCAGCAAGCCAGACCAAGATTTCCTTAAATTAATGAAAAAATTTTGTATTTTTGCTTGAATTGTTTATATTTATACCTTATGACGAACAAATGATATATTGCAAAATTTTATAGAATTACTTGGTAACTAATCTTTGCGATTTTAAACTTAGCTTTGGATAAAGGTAAATTGTTGATTAAAAGTTTCTCCTAAGAACTACACAGAATTGATAGAAACTGCAAATTATGGACACATAAAGTTTTTTTTTATTTAATGTTTTGTGTAGAACATGTACGTAATTTGGATAACATAAGAGCATGATTACTTATTCACAAGATTTTGAAAATATTCAAAGTTTGTAACTGCTTTTAAAATTCGGACATAGATTAAATTTCTATACGAAATGTAGTATAATACGTATATAAAATAAAAAATAGGTGCATGAAATTAGCAGTAGCTCTTATATCTTCATTTTAATTACGGTATTTCCCCTTTCTGTTCTAAAAATAACAATTGCTTATAATAGTTTTCTCTGGACTACATAATGTCTAGATTAATCCATATATTATGAATTTTACATAGCTTATCTTTTTACATAATGCTGGTGACGTAAATTGAAATAAAACTCAAACAGCCAATAATGAATTTACAGCACTGTTAAGCATCCAGTCAAACGCATTGTAACCAAAACTTAACCAGTCTGAATTAAGATTTCATCCTGAACAATGCACTTCACTCTTCAAAAGAAGCAAAAGAAGTAGGCTGCTGTTTGTTGCTTCTTTTCTTATTGCAAAGCTTTCAAAAATGTAAATTCTTTGAAACAGACACGGTTATAAGCACGATTTTGAGACAGGCAAGGCAATGCAAAGTTATTTGTGGCCGCAGCTGAAATAAAAATCAAGGCTTAATCTACCTCAGCTACCAACTTTGCTGTTCATTATGGATCACCATCTAAGTAAGCAATAGCTCTACATCGTTATATGTATATATGTGTGTGTGTGTGTTTGTGTGTGTATTAAAAATAAAAAGAAAAGATTACTTACCATGAATATACTTCTGTTTAATATTATTCTTTTTCTTTGAATTTCTGAAAAGTAGAATAATTTTATTTGTGCCATGTGCAGCATAAAAACTACTTTATGATCTTTTAATTGTTCATTAACCCGCTTAGCAGCAATATTCAGACCCAATCTATCTGAGTTTAATAATTATTACCAACTTCCATACTTAAAGACTGTACTAATGACCGAGTGGCTAAGACAACTTAAAAAAAAAAAAAAAAAAAAAAAAAAAAAAAAAAAAAAATACTAGTAGCTCAACCCATGTTCGAACCTAAGAAAACGGGCTTTTTACATTTTGGTCGTGACTACTTTCCTCATGTGTAATGTGAATACTATCTACTTTCCCTTATGTCCTCCACGAAAGCTTTCAAAGCTTTCTTTAGGCATGTAGCGCATGTGTGCTTTGCCATATTCAATAACCTAACCTAATTTTTGCATTCGTAAAAGTAGTATTTTTATTCTATATGCGTAAAGCAAAATGGCTGATATGTACCTCGTCTATGGAGCAGCGAATAAAAATAGAGGGCTGCGGTATTATTTATCTCGAAAAGTCTTCAACCGGCGTATGCTCATCATAAAAATTTGCACCAATGATTGTACGAAACTGTTATTCGAAAGAAATGGGCAGGTTTCCAGTTGAAAATAAAATTACTTTGGAAGGAAATAAATTACTTAGTTCTTTACCTAATTGAAAGAAATTCAAAGTATACCTGTTTTCCACGACGATTTCTTTCCTTGAGGTTACCCAAATGATTTCATAAATTTAATGCTGACCTCATCGCGAGATTCGCTGAGCTGAAAGCTGTCTAGCCCAGCCCTGAAGAAAAGCTGATGGAATTTCAACTTTGTCCACTATACGCAAAAAATTTATTATGCTAGAATAGCGCGTGCACACCATCTTCATTGTATAGCCAAAAGAGAAAATCACATAGTATAAGATGTGATGTTAGTTGTGGAATACCAAATTATCAGGTCCCCCGTGATTAAGATCCCGATTATGTCGAGGAAGACTTAAAACATAGCTCTCTACATCAATAATTTAAGGATTTGACGTTCCACAACTGACCTCGACAACGACATTCCATCTTGGGTATATGGGAACTTACTCAAGATCAGAAAAATAAAGGCACTGCAATTTCCCTTGACGAGGCTGAAAATTACATGAAAAGAATGATCACTGGTAATGAGATGTAGGGCAATGCTTTCACAACAAGCAAAAGCCAGATCTTCATTATGGCTTGTAAAGTGTTTTCTTAAATCCGAGAAAAATTGCTGCAAGTCAAATCGAAAATCAAAGAGTCTTATTGATGATCTTTTTTGACATCGAGTGCAATATCCTTCACGAAAATTTTCCAGAAGCGTACAAAATAAATTTTAAATATTTCAATGAAATTCTGAAAAGATTAAAGAAAATATTCGGAGAAAAAGATCTGAACTGTGGCTTCTTTATATGGATAACGCATCATTTTAAATCTTGATTTTGTGTTGAAGCAGAGACAACCGCACTTCTTCATTCCCTCTGCTCTTTTTATCAGAGCTATTTCATGGGAGAACTACGAGGTGTGTAAATAAAATAATGAGACTGATTTTTTATAATACTTTTTCTTTATTAAACTAAAGTTACAGTCTCACATTATATCCTCCAAAATAATCCTCTTGGGAAGCCCCAGAACTTTGGAGATTATTTTTCAACTTTTCGTAGAAGTTCTGAAGCTCGGATACTGAAATATTGTAACTTTGAATAAACAAATAGGCACACACATTACTAAATCTTACTCTCAAGAACACTCTGTTCTTTTCTACTGGAAACGTTGACCAATCGCACAAAACACGGAACAAATTTAGCTCTCCTTACTTGGAGTGGACGGAAATATAAAGAGGAATGGATCTTCCGATTTTTCTTTTTTCGTTGAATTTATAACTGTAAATATAATAAGGTTGTTCGTACATTTTTAGACGATTTTCATTATATTTATAGAAATATTTTACCTAATTCTTTTGTGTTTTAAATGCTTCATTTCATAACAATTATTCTTCACTACCTTTCTACACCGTTATTTTGAAGATGATAAAGCATTTTTAGTAGCGGAAGAGGTATTTTATCCCATTCCTCTTGAACAGCTTTCCGAAGTCTAAAGAAGGTTGTAGGTCAACGTCTAAACAATCTGCTGTTTAAAAGTCAAAAAGCGCAAATATTCGTGGCTGATACATCAGGAAATTTAATAGGGATATAAGTGAAGGTACACATGCATGCTTCATGTTCCATTTTTTTCCAGAAAATTAACAGTGGACATTGACGTGCGGCAGCTTGCTTTGTCTTGATGCAGCTCTGCTAATTGTTATCGCTGTGGTAAAAAGAAGGCATTTTATATTTGAAAATCGGGTATAAAGTATGTTCCTGATAATATATGGGGTTGACTTTAACAGTTTCCTGCACGCTCTTTAATTTTTTACTTGTTATATCTAAAATCAGCAACAATCGTAAATCCCTTTGAAAAACTTTCTTTAATTTGCACCATGTTCTAAGATTAGTTTCTTCTCTTTTATGATAATAAATAGATATCTTTTTATTGCGGTCATTTAAATATCCCCGAGATTCCTCTATTGGGACAACATTTTTCCATTTTTGTTTGACTAATTGTTTCTCATAGAGAATTCAGCAAAGCTTTTGATGCACATTATGTTTTTTTAGTCCTTTTATGATTCAAGTCAGCATTAATCACTTTTTGAAGTTGATACTGAGTATTTTAATAATTATGCAACTGTCCTTTAATTTCGAAGATTTCCTTTTAACATAATATTCATTACCTTTGCAAAATTCTATTCCGTTTTTTCCCTTGCACGTGTATTTTGAACAATTTTTCTCCCTGAAGCCAAACTTGGACTTTTCCCCCCTTTCTTACTGACAATTTTATCTATCGTTGCCTTACAGCGAAAAATCATGGCTTTCGCAGTATTTTTTAATAACTAAATACGAATAATTTTCTTCGGAAAGAGCACAAATATAGCCTTCCGTCCAGTTTCACTTATTTTTCCATGCTGGCGAAAGCAAAGTCGTCTAAAAAATATGCAGCCTCTATATTTGAGAAATGTTCTTGTTATATGACACCATTTTTTTCGCCAAAAAACTGACACGTTATGTAAAATATGTCAAAATATCCTTCCGAGGCTTTGTAAACTGAGGATAAGGGAATTTTTTCCTTAAGCAGATCAGTTTATGAATCGGGCATCTCAAATAAACAAGTAATTAAAATTCGGTAGAAAAGTAGTTGCGAAAAATTATGCCTGAAGTTATAAGGTATTTCTAACACCTTCTTAGCAAGCCTTCGTAATGTAGTGGTCAGCACGCTTGGCGCGTATTTGAGAGGCCCGTGGTTCGAGTCCCGTCAAAGGCGTTGCTCATTTTTCACTTCTCCCGCTTCGAAATAATGTAATGTCTCTACAAAGTTATCGCGCTAATGTTAGAAAAGTGAAAAATACGAATGAAAGTTTGTTGATCCCTTAATAAGACTTTAAGAAGCTCGAGTTATGGATACCGAAAAAAGTGCATGCAAAATGTCAT